CACTTCGACTAGCAAAAAGCTAATGCAGTGAGTCTACGAAAGCAATTTTAGGGTTGTGTGTTTTGACAACGTTTCAGGAATCCTTCAAGTTGATACTTGTGTCGTATACAACAAGTACATGAGATCAGACAAAGCATTTTATTTGTGGAAAAAATTCAAAATAGTAGAAACAGCTATGAGTGCGTCATTAACGCGATATTGATTCGACAACTGGGGCGGTCATTAGAGCTCGAGTTTCCGCAGTCAATCGTTTCAAGTTAATAGCATACCCGTTTAACACAACGGTTGAATGGTATAAGTACTATTACCGTACTGTTGTTAGGCTCGTTTTTTAATTTTTTTTTCTGTATGGCGAAAAATGGTTTTAGTCGGGGCAGTGTGGCCCCGTGCGGCTACGCCCGCAGCTTGTCTTTGCTCATCCCGTGAGATATTCCCGTTGTCGTGCAAATGCACGTCAAAGTTGCGTGCTCAGTAGATTGCAGCAGACCGCGCAGAAAAAAGAGCCAGCGGCAGCAAGCCGACCCAGATACCCAGGTCGTCGGCGCATCGCGTGTCTGCTCTATGGGGGCCGTCTGCCGCCGGAACGGTTCGGCCGTGCCTCTTTTCTTGGTCAAACATTTTTCTTAAGCGAAATCGTTGCCGGTACTTCTCATCCTTTCCCTTATTTTAGCCTTTTTCTTCTCTTTTTGCTCCCTCTCTTCGTCTTTCAAGTGGAGAGAGTCGAAAGAGGAAGCAAGCGGATGAAGACCGACGCCAAAAAGGCCAAAACCGATGAACAAGCAGGCAGCGTTACATACATAGGCAATCAGGTGCGTGGTAGGGCGGGTGCGCATTCTGCTAAAAGCCTTTAGAACTAAAGCAAAAGCCCAGGTGACTGTCAAAGCCAGAGAGGAGATTAAGCCACCCAGGTAGCAACCGAAAAGTCCGCCAGTACATCCCACTCACTTTAGTAATACAAAAAACCAAAAGCAGAAAAAAAGCAAACGATAGGAGCAAAAATGAAATTGAGGAACGACGAGAACAGGAGAGAAGACCAGTTGGGTAGGAACATAAGCAACAGCTGGGGACTATTGAAGATGCACGGGCAGAATGAGGCAAAAGTAAAAATAATAAGAAGGGATCAAAACCTCCATTAATGGTTGAGAAAATTTCTCCTTTCGTCCGTCGGGTAGCCAGTGTCCGTCATTAGCAGTAGTTTCAACGTACATACTCGCGGACGGGTGGAGTCTGTTGACGCTGGCTTCATACGTTGATCATAGTAGGTGTGCGTTTAGAGGAATACAGAGAAAACGCAGTAGAAAGCAGCCGACGAGTCTTCTAATTGCGTTATCCCGATCAGCGGGCTAAAGCACTGAGCAGGCTTTAAGCTCGTGTCCGATCGAAGCTGATGAGTGTGCCTGCCATCTCATTACATATCCTACACGTCTGAAATACTATATGAGCAGCTCCCAGTGGCAGTCGCGCCAAATGGCAAAGACACACAGCCATGTGATCAATATTTTAGCCAACCAGCTGCATTACCGGCACTATCCCTGCAGATCCGCATGCTCACTTCCACGATCAGCCACGCCCTCAAAGATATGTTTTTCGTGTTTTACGTTCGGGACTTAAGCCGTAAGGCATTACTTCATTGGGCTATCTGCCAGCAAGAACCGAACCATGTATCTAAAGCCGGATTGGAAGCCAAAACACTACGCGGCCCTAAATTTAGCAGATAAACACGTTAGCCACTCCGCTATCACTGGGACACACCCTTGAAGATAGCGATCTTGCTTGCACCATCAAAGGATAGAACAGCTATTTTTGACCTATTTTGCATAACGCACGCAGTAGTGTTCGCAAGGTAATTTGAAATAGGTATATATATATATATATATACCTACGATCGAAGTTAAACTCATGAAAATAAATCAATTATTTTTGCCATTTTTTACCTTTTTAATCTCTTTTTGCTAATAGCTTAATTAGACAATACCTAATCAGTGAGTTAGTCCACTGTACATTATTCGTTTAATGCTTCAAGAAACCATTGCAAAATTTACCCTAGTCTTTTTAAATTTAAACGTATTGGACCATCCTGTAAATTGACCCTATTTGAAGCCACATCAGCCTTGCTTATGTTTTTGAAGTACGCTTGATTACAGTATTGTTATTAATATATGGTACAGTGACCGTGAGTCGGGGGATATGTTTACCTTAAAATTAGATATTTTACAACGAAATTCGTTTTGTGCTTCGAAAACTTTGACTGTCTTACCTCTACGTCTGCGTGAATAACGCACTCTGCATGTGTAATATACACGCGTATAACTAATACAAACGATGGAACAAGACAGGGAAATTCATACGATGGTCCAAAGCAATGTCCGACCCAGCATTTTTCCATTGTCCAAGTATACAACAGGCAGAGACGTGCCTCGATGCTCAACACTCGACCTGTTAGTGACAGTCGGATGTTATACTATCCACACGCATGCAAATACTTAGATACACAGGCAGGAATAGCCAACGGACACACAGAACCGCTCATACTGCAATAGCTTCGGGCAGTCTTTTTTTTTGTTTAGCCTATGACTTCAACTCAGGCATTGTTCCGGTCTCAGTTGTTGTCGTCCGTGGCATCGTCGTTAAGGCCAATAGCAGCATCAGTATCACCATCACTTAGTAACTCAGCAACCTTTTTCTTCTCGTAAATGCCTTCCTTTCATGCCTTAAATACTTTCGTTCCCTCGTTTCCTCTGCTACTTGGTGCACCCCGGCAACCCATAACTGTCTGGAAAACTAGAAGCCTGCGTATTAGTTGGCTAGCTAGCTAGGTTTCCTCGACGTAACCAGCAAGGCAGTCTCTGAGAGATGCGCGCAGGGCTTATTGGCCGATATACAACGCGTCCGGCCAAATGCGCAGCAACACTTATCACCGTACCGTCTTTTATGGTTGCCTTTCACGGCTGTTTGCCGCCTTTTTACCCATCGCCATGTCGCAATTCCTTGCTGCTGCTGTTGGTGCAAGTTTCTACGTAAGGACGATGAAACTGTTAAGACGGGGGTGGAGAAAAACAGTCCTGATGAGGATATGTGACCGGTGGCTGTGGCGGCGGCGAAAAGGAAAAAAGAAGGACTGGGTCTTCGAGCTAGGTCGAATCATGGCCCACTACAGTGTACGCTTAAATACGTACGTAAATATTGAGCCATCTATTTTATTTATATTCGGAATGATAAAATTTCAGGAAGGAAATTGCAGTTGATTAAGTCTTATGCTAGACTGCTGGCGGGCACAACATATGTTGACAAGTAATATTTTCTTCAGCAGTGATACGTCGTGTTTGTTTGTTTCGATAGACAGACGTTTCATTTTATTTTATCGAAAAACCCTACTTCATATTGTTAAATTATTTTTAGCGATAAACGGTGGCATTTGGGCGTGAAAAATTAAAGCAGGTACGTGTTACCATAGAAAAATCATACCGTAGAAACTTATCGCTTAAGCGTAAGATTTCACGACACACACAGTGAATTCGAGTTATGTATTTGCCCAGCTCGTAGCCAAATTAACCCAGGCCATTATAAACGGTCCAATTCAAATAGCTTACATTCCTGCGGGGGCAACTTACGCACCTGAAACGTAAAGGTGTAATTATGCTACCGCAGTATGTCGTGTTATCAGTCTTCTACGTCCGGCACGTTTTCGTATAAAGAGACCCTAATTTAACTCAAACTAAAGGTGATTAGATAATTTGCTAATTTAGGGTTTATTTTAGACCGCACAGAAATTTTAATGCAGTTAATAACGTTTACGGCCGCGAAATTAGCTGCCCCTTTGATTTGTTTCCATTACCATAGTAACATGTTATCTGCGAACATCGCATACTAATTTGCGATCATTGTATCCCATGTACCTGAAAACGTTTTGCTCAGGCATAAAATGACAGACGGTACTTAACATCATGACTTGGCCTGCGCTCGTAGGTAAGTTAACGTCGTAGGTCGTCTAGCACAACGCCAGAGTAAGCCGGCTTTTCCATCTTCCTTATTTCCAGAACACCAGGAAACAAGGCGAAAGGAAACGACAACTTAATCCGAACGTTATGGCAAGGAACCCTAACGACGTTTGGAGTAGAGTTTCTACTGAAAAGGAGACAGGAAAAACAAAGATCTATTATAGATGAGACAAAGAAACTACATCGACTGTTCATTTGCGGCTACATTACCCTGCCTTAGAGCCAGTAAAACTGGTAGTAATATTATAGGGTAATAGCCGCCGACGTCAGACATGCCACGATTTCTCGTACGTCAAGGACCGGATGTTATTGCTAGAGGTGGGCTTCGTGCGATACCCATCGTTATTGTCACGGACATCGTCGTCGTGGTAACAGCTGTCACCAAAGCAGCAACCCAGCATTGTAACGAAAGAGTTTGTGTCTGTATGTATATATATATATATCTAGAGAGAGCGAGGGAGAGAGACAGAAAGCTCATTCGTTTTCTGTGCTAGAGGATGACTGTCAGACAGGATAGGATAATCCGGGAATGACTCGCTAGTCTGGTCATCTAACTGGCTGACGTTACGCTTAGCTTTCGTAGCTTCTTCATCGCGTCCGCGGCGTATCGTAGGAGATAAGAACTAGAGACCATAGAAAAACCATTCATTTACAATGTACTGTGCAATAGCTAGACACCCTGATACATCTCAGTGTTATTGTTCACAGTTGCTACTGTTAATTCTGATATTGTTATTGCTACCGTTCATTAAATAGCCAGACATGTTCTGATAACGGGATATGGCGCATCGTAACTATGTGACTAGAGAAATTGCCGATTTTGTTGCAAAAAGCTGTGATACCATAATCAAACAATCTGCCAGATACGCAAATAGTTAATTCGATCTTCGGATGGCTTCTGAAAGAAGAAATTGACGACAATATGCTCGTAGGTATACGTACGTATGAGATTGGTGCATTTTTTTTTTTAGTACGTCATACGTTATTACGTTCATAGCTAACCTTGATCAAGACAACTGCCAATGCGAGTGCGTAGAGTAACAGAACAACGATGACGTAACCAACTGCTCGACTTCCACTGTTAGCGTGCATTTCCTGAATCTGAGCATGAGCTGCTGCTAGTACCTGAAAATAAATCAAAAAGACCAAGACGTCGTGCAATAGTTGAAGCCATCTATCGTAAAGAGTAAGTATAAGAAGAGGAGTAAAAATCTCAGCTTTGCAATTACGTAACGCTACACGACAACGACGACGGGAACGACAGCAACAAGCAGGAACTGAAAAACAACTCGTAGGCCCATGATAGTGTTATCATGCAATACAATGCTAATCCCTATAACATTATTCTCCTGTACAATTGTTAAGCTGCTGATAGCAGTTCGCCGTAGGAAACAAATGCGGAACAATCAATCAACAACTTCTCACAGCATACTCAATTCTATAGAGCGTGTATATAGATCTTAATAATCACCTAATGCGTTTCATATCCCGGAAAGCATGTTGGGCATAGGGTTAAACATAAAACGCTAAAGACGTAGGCCGTATACGTCCGCCGGTCTGGCCATTCTGACCAACCACCAGATGCCAGACCGTCATCCGAAGATTAACTTCTGATACGAGCTCTTCTCATTAGTGAGAGATTATGCCTTCAACGAGCACTGGACGTTGGCGGGTGTCCTCCTAGCTCCATGTCGATTATGTCTACCGATCACCACTAAGCAGTTTCTGTCCATCTTTCTAAACAAGCATTCCTATTTATACAGCTGAGACGAGTTAATAATCGTCGAGGCTATTTGCAATCTGTGCAAATCTGCGCCCTGCCAAGTTAGATTAAAGCAATTATACCAATACTTCCTTGAAATTATCCCTTTGGGACCTCTGATTTTACGGACAGACAGAGCTAAATCGCGCTATCGCCCAGATGAGTTGAGTCTGGATTGGATTTAAACAAGTAACCGTAATCGAGCTCCCACCAGAACGCCCACCCGGAAAAGTAATCGTCTTATCCCTAATAGTACACATACTGAGGCGAGATAGATCAAACATCGTTACTGTCATCAACTCAGCGAGAGACACGAGGAAAGGAGCCGAAACAGAGAATGGAGAGGTAAATTTCGAGATCTTCGTATGCGCGCGCATCGATGTTGTTGTGACCGTTCACTATCGCTGAGGACCTCCCTATCTGTTATTGGCAATTTCTCCTTCATGTGTATGTACACATAGCAGGAAGCTCAGTCTATAGATGGAAGTGTGTTTTTGAGCTCGTTTAGTAACTGACGTTAGATTCGTTCATACAAGAATCCACTTTCCTTGTGTTGCATATGGGCTTCGATCGTATTATCACCTCTTTCTACCACCCGTAACACATTACATAGCTGAACGTCGATCCAATCGAATATTTCCAAGGTTACTTTGTGTCTAAAGAAATGTTAATCAATCAATGTTGTATACCTTAAATTCTTGATTTGTTCTGTCCATTTCGCATGGACCCGCAGATCGTGCGGCGTAGAGAAAAAACATTTTTAGAAAAAAGTAAATAGAAAAGTGCTAAAGCGCCGGTCATGGTACCGTCGTAGACTACAATTTTTCTCAAGGGAAGGCCTGATTGTGATATTTATTCATTATTATTAGCTTTATTAGTCGATTATTGTTAACACTAAAATGGATAATTGTTATGACGCTTGTGCGTTGCTCACAGTATCGTGATTTAGAGGGGAATCTAGGGAGATGACGGCGACGACAGACGACAGTTCTTGTACCGATCAGGGACTTCAAATGACATCGAAGGCTGACAGTGGACAGAGGATTAGTATAGCTGACCGGTCTCCTTCGGTGGACTATTTTCATGTCCCACTAATTAATGACTCCTCTCAGGTTCTCCAAGTATACGAACAAGCTTGAAAGCTTGAAGCTCATAGTTTCAACATTGCTACCAAACAACATCGACGTTGTTGAGGCTGTGGCAACGTCAACACTCTGAAACATGAAAATCGTTACATAATCATTATAAAAAAAACACTTCAGAAGACAGATCCTATCCGGAAATATCGCCTGTGCTGGCTGCACTGACGAATTCCGACTTAGCTAACAACGATCACTATCAGCCAAAGTAGACAACCGATTATTCCCTTGGCATCAATTCGCAAGTCACAAAGTCACGAAGCCCAACCAGAAACAAAAGCAATTTACCGACATCGTACAGACCTTCTTCCTCAATCGCGGGTCATCGCTTTGTGTCATTCAGTGAATTGTCGAAACGCGGTTGGTGTAAACGATATTGAAATGACTGTTAGGATTTTTCGTCTGCCATTTGCCTTGACGCTCGAGAAACATCGAAAGTAACGCAGAAGTCCAGGGAGATGCAGAAGGGATCGCGCCATGTATTCTAATCCCCACTGGCGTCTTGTGAGCATGTGGCTAAATCGGAGTCTCCATTCAGTTGACCACAACCAATCGCGAGACACGACCAGAGCTTGGCTGTATCGTTTGCCTTTTCTTTCTTCGGTCGATTTTTTTCCTACATACGCAGATTTGTGTAAGCTCGATTAGGCTGTCCCTCTAGACCTATTGTATCCGAGACAAACACCCGGAACAGCCCAATCGCTTCTGCAAATGCTAGCTTCTAAATGAGACAGCCAAAGTTTGTGGTGGTAAGAAACAATTGCAACTACAGTTGGGAGCGATCAAGCAGACGAGGTCTTTCTGCACAATGTGACGCGTATATGTTGACGGTAGTTACCTAACGTGAGATCTATATGACTGCATATAAGGATTAGTAGGAGATACAGAACATTTGGTCTTTTGGATGTTATCATACGAGACAGTGCACGGAAGCATATGCGGGACGATGTCTGTGCAAGTACGGACTTGTTTTTCGCTATGGCCTTTGTTCACGGTTTTGCCGGACCGCTGGCTTCAGAAGCTGCAGATTAGCTAGCCGTCGCTAATCGTGACCCCACACCACACATCAAATCGAGTATTAATCATAAATGTAATGATTATGTGTTTTTCTAGTATTTACATTCGTACGTATAGCAATAATCGTTAGGGTACTCAGATAATACCTGTGCTGTCGCGTTGCGCATGGCTCCAGAGCAGAGGACCTTACTAAGAGTAGCTGCAGCCGGTGCGACGGTTTCCGATGTGGCAACGGCCACGGACATCTCCGACAAACACTTCTCCTCCGGATCGCTTCCGGAACTCCCCAACGATGGATGCTTTCTCAACGAAGGGGCCCTTCACCGGTTTTTCTGTCGCGTCCGCTATATTGGCGTGTCCTCGTACACCTGTTGACCTTCATCAAACAAGCGTGCCTAGCTAACCTTGACGCGGCAGCCTGAAATGATGTACGTACTTACCATTAGGCAACAGAAAGTATTATCGTATGCTTAGATTAGCAATAATTTTTGTTCTGTGTTTTTACATTATCGTTGGCATGTAGATCCTCCCCCCTTCGTCCTCTCGGTGAAGGCTTGGCCTGTGCAATACGATACGACAAGCTTAATACATGTCATAAAATGTTAACTCTAACTGTATAATAATGCGCCATCTGCGGCGGTATCGCTTCTGAGGGTTTTTAACCTTACGCACTATAGTCAGGACTCAACATTTAATGATCGAGGCGTAGGGTATTTTATTATGCCTTCATTTATTTAATTCTTGTAGATAATGAATTGTTCCGCCTGTCGTGTCCAAATCAAAATAGTGAATGGCCCTGTAGCCTCGTTGATCCCTAGTTGTACTCCGAATCGGGTACAATACACCGGTGTTGACCATTCGTTGGGTGATATGTGCGGATATGGACGATCTGAACAAAATTCAGTGCACGTCCTCATGAAAAATATTTGAAAGTGAGCAGAAATGATGCGGTCGCGTCGTTCTGAGCTTACCTCACCTGTCCTCGGGAAATCCTTGAACTCAGATGAGAACAAACATAACAAGAGGGGTGCCGCATTCGGCGAGGAAAAAATTAGCTACTGAAACCACGTATGTTTCTGACTGCACATTCTGAACAGCGGAAGCCACGTAAAAAACGCTATTTGTTCTAGAACTGAGCTGAATGAAGTCGTCTAGGTAGACCGAGATAAACAGCCAATATTCCCTAAAAAGTAATTTAGATTCGAATTTATAACCTGTCTTCAAGAAGCAAAATGTCTGTGTGCATATCTAAAAATAGACATCTGCTCAGTATGGTTAGCTGGACAAGGCGTCCGGATAAACTTTCATAGCGTTAAATACTGATATTTTCGGCACCGGTTGCCTCCGCTGAGATTTGGTAATGAAGTAAAACAATTTTATCAACATCTGGGCAACAGAGCTGAACTCAATTCTGGGCTGATTTCATCGGATCTCCATAATGAAATAGGTGTGTGCAATGAACCGTATTCTCAGTGCCGCAAACCTGACTAGCACTTTGTTTAGCGAATACAAAAAGGCAATGAGGCGAAAAAGAGAATAAATAGCCGACCAGTCCAACCTGCTTGCTAAGTAATTTCCATAGTGTAAAGCCATATGTGCTTGAAAGAAGCATCGACGTTCACGAGGACGTAGCGGTGGCATTAAAACAACGCCAGTCACTTATTGTACCTATTTAGAAATGCCTTGTGCAGAAACAAGGCTAACATAAGTGGCATTTATACACCTATCTAATGAACATGCTTCTGCTTCGTGCTGTTATGTACCTACTATTATATGGAATGTCAGTTCCATAATTTTACGATGCTACCTGAGGATTTCTAATTTGACTTTATAGATCGGAACAGGAAGCTCCTGCTCAGAGATTAGAAGGTCTGATTTTAAACGTGAACAAGTTTTCCTAGTTCCATGAAGCCGAGCTGAATAATTCCGCTCATGCGGTGGAAAGCAGTGTGGTGCATATTTTGGTTTCTTGTCGACCTGAGTGTTCCCATAACGCAGTATCTGTTGGATAACAACTCGGTACATTATAGCTGCCAAATCGTTTTTACACCTCTCTTAAATATGGTTAGTATGCAATCACGGTGGGTGCAAAGGACAGGGCCGTATCTAAATGTCACCGGTCATGAACTAAAGTGAACTGTGTTCTCGAAGCAATTGAAGGCATCGACATCATTGCATTAGGCGCTGCTGGGGAACGATTTGGTAAGTACCACAATGAAGGTAAGTCTTGCTATTGGCGCATGATTTCTTCAGTGCCATCAGCTGCTTGAGCGGTAAGTAGTCGGATCATTATCTGAGTTGAGAAACAGTATGTTGAAAAAAGTATTTTAAGTAAAATTAAATCAGGTAATTTTAGTTGTATATTATTTCTATATTCAATTCCGTAATGTTGCCTCTGGTACAACATGCACCCCGTGCTGAAGGCTGCTAATTCTTATTATTACTGCTAACTCCTGTACACTAGCTAGAGTCTCTTATTAAATATACGACAAAGGTATATGCTGCGATAAGTGACGAAAATTGCCATCTGGAAGTATTTATCTATGTAACCAGCGACAAAATAACAGAATAGCATTTAGAAGCGAGCCTTATAGCGAATGGGCCTTGTGGCCACGTCCACCCCAATCAATGTGCTTCCATGTGACAGCTAGCAACATAGACTTCTTGGTTTGCCACCCGCCCATTTTATCGGTCTTCTATGCAGTTCGTATCGACTGTGGCCGTAAGACAAACAACTAGACACGCAGTGCAGGTGATAGAAGAGACGAGCTAAATGTCTATCAGCGTACACAGTAGGAACTTTGCGTGTCTATCTATTTGACATTTGCAGACACACTTTACTTATGTATCGTTAGCTTCTCCTTGGTCAAGCTTTACGGAAGCACACGCAAAGGGCTTTTCTTTTATGTTCTAGCTAGAGGTATCTTCGGAAACCTAATAAAAAACATATCGTCACAGTGAAACTGACAGCTTCACTTATATTATGAAGTTGCAAGGCAAACAAGTCATGAGTCCCCGCGTTTGGCTGACAAATTCTTCCAGAAGATGCTAGATAATCGTGTGAAGAACTGCCGCAAAAGGATAACCTGTTAACTAGCTGAAAATTGACTGTATAGGGATCAGTTAAGAATGAAAAGTCTCCAAATTAATATTATATAATGTATTGGGCAAAAGCCACTTTCCATAAGGTATCTCGACTCATAATACGCAAAATCGCCGTGGATAACGAATGAAAAGGGTACTCGCAAGTTAACTTGGTTCTTGGAATCTGCCAATGTCTCCCATTCGGCTTATCTTAGTAAACGCGACCACCATTGTCATAATCGTCATAAGTTAGACCCAACGTTTCGAGCAAACTGGTGTCCTTCGGGTTCAATGTTCAGTGTCTGATACAGCACCCGCTGTGCTGAAACGGACGTTAACGCGCTTCCTTGATACGCAAGGCTGTCTGCAGAGTCTAGCCAATGACTAATTATCTAAGAAGACTTGAATTTCATGCTGTATGAAGAATACGATTTGACAATGTCTCTAGAGCCCTGCAACGCTGCCTGAGGCCTGACGTGTCTTATGCATTCTACTACTCCAACCTATTATACATAGATATAAGCAGTCAGGGCGTCAGCAGCAGCTAATGGCAAGGCCACAAATGGTCAAAATTTTCTGTCGCTGAGAAATGATTACTGAAATTGGCATTAACACTACGTCTGAGTCGCTAATACTGTTTTCCTGAAGGCTTTCTTTTAGGAACCATATCCACCGTATGTTTCTATTCTGTCTAAATTAAAAATGAAAAAAGAAAAAAAAATACAAGGTCGAGTGTAGAGAAGCTCAAGAGCTATAACGCAAAAACCTGTTTGCATGTCGTGTGTCCAGTGGCAATTTCTTATGGCCTAGTGGGATGAAATAAGTCTAAATGATTTCTAATATGATAGCCCATATGTGTTTGGCTCAATTCGTGTAAACAATTAACGACAGGGGAGTTCACTCGGAACCCACCGAGATAGCAGATATCGAATAGACTATAGTAAAAAGCCAATAGGTTGCTATAACGTTTACATACCTGGCTGTTCTGTTGCTTAGCTAGTTTAACGCTGGCCAACCAGGAAGCCTCAGGCGCTGGCTAAGAGTAATTTTATTCCCGCAAAACATATCCAATGGACGGCTCATCCAGGACGAACGTAGTAAATTGGCCACACGAGTGAGGCCATAACCATTAGCGATGCTTAATGTTCGTGAATAATACACTAAGGAAAGACCAGGGGAAAACGAAAACAAAATTTTCTACGAGGTAAGAAGACTCGGGCTTTGTATGAAAGGTAAGATCAGGCGCATTTCTCCAGCTCAGTTGGTAAGACAGATCGAAATCGGCTTGTTGTGCGCTGGGCTGGTTTGACTCCCCTATTGTTGCTCCTAACATTGAGAGCGAGCATAGTTACATTATCAACAAGTATATGCTCTAGGCACGGTAGTGACTATCTAGCTCTGTCCTACCATACGCGTGAAGGCTTTAGATTTATGAAGGCCATTTTTGTCCTTTTACTTACTGCCTTTTTGCCATAAAGTATTCGGCCGCTAGCGAAAAACACAAATCACAGTACATTTTTTTATGGTACAGGTTTAAGCTACAGCACAGAGAACCAGCATGTCAACATCATAGGAATACAAGCAACAAAAAAAATGTTAGCTCACGCGAGAATATCGCAAAGAAGACACGGTGGGATATCAGGAAAAAGGACAGTGCTTAGATGCCGGAGACCGGGCCTTACTTAAACTATATGTGAAAGAGCACAGGTCGTCAGTAGTCCGGCTTCGAACGAGTAGTCTATTAATGACAATTACATCCAATAATGTGCCAAAGGCTAGAAGGGCTTAGTACCTGATACAAAAAGTAAATCAGACTAAATTCTTGTCAGTGAGGTAGAACGCGAGCAAAGGCAAGTATGGTACCGTGCGTTAATGCCCTCCTTCGACCAGGAGACACAGGACCACGATGTGTGAGTTAATGGAGCTGCTTTAAATTTGCCTATGTACTATTCTTATTCAATGAACTCCTTTGATTAACGTGGTGCGAACACGATATATATACTAGCATCGATTGTTCGGTACGTATACGAAAAACGTGCATTGAACCTACGACACCAAACAGTACGCTTGGATGGCCCCTAGGATTGAAGAAAATTGTTAGCTACATGTATGTTTAATTTGAACGTGAATTATGCCAAAGTTCTATCTGAGTCATGAATTATTTATAGGAAATATGAATACTTCTGTTTAGGAAGAATGTTTACGTTCAGAAAATAGCACTGAAAGACAACTGTGCTTGTCAAGATTCCAAAGCTCAGCTGGAATCTAAAAGTTGTTACGTACACGGATAAACGCGTATTAGTTTAGTATCAACCAAACAGTCAAAATAAACAT